AGTACGCGGAGTATCTGGGGAGCTGGAAGCTGAGAACTGGCGACTTTGTAGTGCAACTTTAGTACGCGGAGCAATCTGGGGAGCTGGAAGCTGAGAACTGGCGACTTTGTAGTACAACTTTAGATGACTGGTGTATTGATGAGTGGTGTATGATGAGTGGTGTTTGATCAGCGGTGTATTGATGGGTGGTGTAAATGTTCGTAACACGGAAGTTCCTTTTCATCAAGAACCACTCATCAAGAACACGTGAAGATGACTTGAAGGCCATGAGAAAGTCAAGTCTCGAACCCTGTTTCATGACTAATCTCCCACAGGTCAGTGCTGCTACGGGCAGTTGATGTCACAAACAGCTTACCACCTTACCATCTGCTCTGAATCTCCCACACAGGTTCCTGTCCCTGAACTATTCTTGCTCATTTGTTGCTTCACAAACTCAAGCCGTACAAAACAACTATGAAAACCCGTGTTTTGATGCATCTTCCCTCAACCAATGGAAAGTGGAACAGTGCAAAACGAGAAAAGGCACTAACTCTGCCCGGCCTACAGGAGTTTGAGCCAAACGATTCTCTGAGCGTGTCGGGTCACAAGTAAGTATGAACCAAACGTGAGACGTGAGTCCCGGCCCCCGGTCGATCAGTCTGAGATCGCTCAAGATCGACGATGATCTGCCTATCCAGGGGGTTCCAGTCAGTGATGGGTTGAAGGACATTCAAGTAAGTAAGCGTCTCAGGTTTCAAGTGGCAGACCCCTGATCTACCACCCCAAATGATCAGTATACATATGCCAATCATGGATTGATAGGTTATGCATGTTTTCTACGTAGCTATGACTATGACCCCTTTTCAATCAACGACCCCGACCCACCCTGGCCTGCTTGCTAAGGCTATGCCAGTGCCATCGGGCCAGTCTGGCCTCTCCCATCCCGCCGAGCAGCTCCTCGACGCAGCTCCTCGCTGCTCCTCACGTTTCCGAAACGGATACGCTCCTGTCTGCCGCTGATCTCTTGTGGAACGCTCCCATTCTCTTCTTCACTGTCAGCCAGCCAGCTAGCCAGTCACTCACTCATTCAGTCAGTCAGTCACTCACTCAGTTGTGTTGGATGGCGGCGGCCATCCCCAGATGGCCTCCTCATAGATCATGGGTACGACGATCTCCAAGATCTGCTCCACAGGCTGCGTGAGAACCCGCTCCTCAAGGGACGAGACTCCAACACTCGTGTATGATGAGGCGGAACACTAACCGAATTTACACCACTCATCAATACACGACTCATCATACACCAGTCATCATACACCACTCATCACACACCAGTCATCAAACACCACTCGTCATACACCACTCATCATACACCAGTCATCATACACCACTCATCATACACCAGTCATCAGACACCATTCATCATATACCACTCACCATACACCACTCATCATACACCACTCATCATACACCACTCATCAATACACCACTTATCAATACACTACATACCCATGAGAAGCACAGTGCGAATTGTTTCTTCTACCTTAAAGCGTCAGGTCGCCACTCTTCGTAGCTCCAGCATCGATCGGCATGCGTCGCTGTGCACCTGCATGGAGAAGCACACCAAATGTTGGAAGAAATGATTTTGACTTTGAAAACACCACCCACTTCGCGTGCTCGCAGCAGCCGCGCTTAACTTTCGATTGCACATGCCCGGTTGCTTCAGCACGCCGCTGTGGGCTGCTGATCTGGCTTTGGCATAGACCTAACCTAATAGACTGTTGCGAGCTGTTGATCTTGCACAGACCTTGCACAGGTGGCGCTGTGTTGGTGAAAACTTCGGAGCGCATGCGTCTGACTGAGGGACACGAGGGACACGCATCGTGGAAAGAACCGGGACACTCCTATAGGTCAAATTCTTCTTATAGGAAACTTCCGCCGCCGGCTTGCCCGGGAACTACTAGTAGTAGTAGTAGTAGTAGTGGTAGTAGTAGTAGTCGTCGTAGTAGTAGTAGTAGTACTATAGTACTAGTAGTAGTAGTAGTAGTAGTAGTAGTAGTAGTAGTGCTAGTGCTAGTGGTAGTGCTAGTCCGGTCAGCTAGGCCTCTGTAAACCTTCTACTTAGAACCTCTACTACATCCTAGAGACAAAAGCTGCAGCCCCGTTGTTGTTTTTTTGGACCCCCCCTCAAAAGATGTTGTTGCCTCTACCCCCCTAGAAACAACATCTGCAGCCCCGTTGTTGTTTTGTGACCCCCCCCAGAACAACACACCAAAAAACATCAAAAAGCAAGAAACAGACCAACCAAGACTAGGAAGTCCAGCTACTAACATCTCTCCAAACCTTCGACCCTATCCCTAACAGTGTCCCTTTCAAATCCCTGACTTGCAACATGTGACAACTATGTTGGGCAGCTGTTTTTGTCTCTACCAACAACAGCAACAACAACAACCACAACACACAACACACAACATACAACAACACACAACCACAGCACACAACCACAACACACAACCACAGCACACAACCACAACACACAACCACAAAATTCACAACCGTGGCAACATGCTCCTCACCATGGCATGAAGAGAAATGATTGACATGTCATGGCGGGGATCACTCGAAGCAACGTATTTTTCTATTTTTTGCACCAGCAAGAAAAACTCAGCCCGACTAGGTTGGAAGATGCATTCTTTAGCTCTCATCCCAAACGGCCTGACGGTCCAACCAACAATCAACCCCCATGTTCAGTTCATACCTAGCACCTTTCTATGAAAGCAAGATGTTTTTGCATTTGTACATTTTCTTTCATGCCGCAACTTCCAAGCCTTTGGCTGTTCCGATTAGCAAGGGTCCACACACCTGAGCCATCCCATGTACCAGACAAAAATGGACATGACCCGAGAAACGAACAGGTACTTGTTTTGTCCCATGTTCTGGGCGCTAACGGAAGGTCTGCGCAGAGGTGACGTTTTGGGTTGACATTCTCGTGAAACTCAGGTCGACAATCACATCCCTTATTCGAACATTTGCATCATAATGTCATAAGAAGTTCCGAATCACTGGGACAAGTTGCCCGACCCAGTCAGTGGATAACATTTTCAACCTTTTTGGGGGATTGCGTTTCCCACGAGCAAGGGTTAACATGATGCTTGAGGTTTGCCCCTGCGGCATTCCTTGCTTCTGACAGGATCTAGTTGAACTCAGTGGGTAACCCGTATTTGTCCGGGGAAACCCCAAGCTTTAAAGGGGGCCCACCACCCCTAGCCCAAAGAAGGATTGCCGAGCTTTCCACGTCCCACGGCTTACACCCTTCGTTGGCTCACCGGTCAGAGCAACCCTGCGAATCAAAGACCCATGGTCACTTCCGAGTACCGCGGACGTCGTTGGGGGAAGAGACGACCTCTGGTCGTCCGGACGTCCGCGACGCACCGGAGCAACGTGGAGGAACCCTCCGTCTCGTCTGTCTCGTCTGTCTCGCCAGGCTTGGTGTCGTCGGTGTTGGACCCTCTCCATTCGGACAGCCTCTCGTCGGTCCGCTCCATGGCCCCTCGGCTCCGAATCCGGGGTGTGCGGTGGGCGTTCGTGGGCGTTCGTGTGCTCCGGCTGGTTTGTTGGGAATGGGAAGGGGTGGTGAGACCCGAAAGGAGTTGGAGAACTCTGAAATGTCCTGCAGGACCTTCTCAGTGACCTCTTCAGGATTGGTAGTCGTGGCCCTTTTCAAGGCCTGTTCGTGACCGACTCGCCACTGGGATCTCAAGTTAGGTCACTGTGAAGGTCCTGGTCCATGTGGATCAGAGGAATTCCTCTTCCTCGTTTCTGAATGGGCAGTTCCTATGCATGACCAAGAAACACTGCCCGATGGGTGGAAATCACCACTCCCCACGAGCTTTTCAAGAAATCTGCACGGAGAGAAACCCCTCGACTGGCCCGAGGCTCGCGGGGAAAGAGTCCACTCCTCTCTTCGCGGCAATGGAAGTGAAGAGAGAGTTGACCTGAAAGAATCATGAAAGTGGAACATGGCCCATTGGTTGACCATGTTCCGAATACCTAAGAGGTGGTGGTTTCTAAGAACAGATGCCTCTTCAAATCCGTCACTTCGCCTTGTTCGAAGCAAACATGGACGATGAGCATCCCTGGTCACCGGATTCGACGGCATGACAGAAGTTTCGAACTTGGGGGCCTGGAAAAGGGGCCGTCGTCCAGGTGGCCGTGGCCGCGTGTGGTCAGACCGACCTCAAGTCAGCAGGACCATAGCAGCACTGGTTTGGGCATGTTTGGGGCATTGTCCCGGAAAAACCGAGGTCCCTTCCTGACCGGTAGGGGTGGACGCCAGGCTCGGAGTTGATCGTAACAACCCCGCATGGCATGGCGACGTCTCAAAAGCCATGCCAGGCTCGGTGACCGGTTCAGCCGATCCCAGGTGCGTTTGGGCTTTCTCTCCTCAGCCTGCGGTATGATGCGTTGCGGCTCCCCCGTGCTCGTGCGCCTGGGCGGAACAACCGCACCCACTTGCGGTCCTGGAGGTCATGGACCTGCAGTTGATCCGGAATGGGGCAAGGTATGGGCTTGCACAGGTGACGTTGATCGGTTGCAGCTTCAGAGGAACCCTTCCCCAGACGTGACCCATGGGACTGCCATAGGACTGCCGATCAGTTGGGGTGGTGCCGGGGGGGTCAATGGGGTGGCATATGTAGGCATATATTCCATACATGGAGCGTCTGGGTACTGTAGGCTTCCGTTCGACTATTCAAAGAGTTAGGAAAAGACCTGTTTTGAGAAATCAATGCCCTCGAGCAAACAAGACTTCTTCGGGATTGGTAGCACCACCCATTTCGATGGGTTATTGGAAAGCAAAATACACCACCGTCAACCCCAAACAGTTGGCCACCATCATTCCGAAGGCATTGCTTCTTGCCAGAAGGCGGACGCAGTAGCTCAGACTGGGTGACAAATAATATACCAGGACCAAATGAGACCTGTTAGGGTCCAACAACCCTCAACTAAGAGCCTGTTGGAGGGTGCTGGTAGAGAATTGTTGTTGAGGATGTACCAGAAGGTGGACACACTGGAAGAAACATGTCAAGTTTGCTACTAAAGCATTTGCCAGAAGGCAGCAGACTGGGAGACTGGGAGACAAAAGTGTAGAATTGCTACTAAGGACACCAGGAACTTGTTCTAAGGAGTTGCCAGAAGGCGGAGGCACTAGCCCAAACTAACGGGGACACACTGAAAAGCATTGAGAACCCCAACAGTAAATTGGGGAAATACAGTAACCCACCCAGTCAGTGCGTAACCTTTAACATCATTTAATTAACCTGTTTGGAACAAAGAAGGGAGATAAGGATGGAAAAGGGCTAATCTCTTTTTTCAGGTGAGGGTGGTGCCCGCCAGGTCAGTCACCAGGACCTCCCATTTGTGACCGTTGTATCAGTGATCAAACAGGTCACAGGGAAAGAAACACATGAAGATCAAAGGTTCTGGGTGGAGAGAGTCCAAGACCGCCACAGAATCACCTCTTGCGGACAGAATACTGAATAGGTCTGTAAGTTCCAAGAGAGGTTGAACAGCCCAACAACCAAACCGCGCAGCCCGTACCACAGACCACGGGTCCGAACGTGAAGCGGTCTTCCTCTCAACCTCTCGTCTTGCTTCGGTCACCCACCCCGTTCGGGGATGGGTACGGTCCGGTTGTTCGTGGAAGACGGTCCAGGTATCGTATGGGAAGACGGTGAATCAGGAGTTCCAAGACACATAGGACTGCCATATATATGCCGAGAAACGGCCAGGGGTGGTGCCAGGGGTCAATGGATCGGCAGTCCGTCCTGGCAGTCCCAGACGAGTCGTGTCTGGGTTTGGGAAAGTCCGGATTGGATCCGCTTCAAATTGACATGTATACGAAGATAGAACGGTTCCGACGGGTGTTCATCATCTATAGCACTTGCACTTCCTGAAGAAGTCCCAGATGTGCATCCTCTGCCGGTCCCGAAGTCGGTGTTCTTTCTTCCACGCGGCGGACGGACAGGGACACTGGTCACCGCGCCGGTGCGAAAGCCCAGGCGCAGCTTCGCCACAATGGGCCCCGCCTCCTCGGTCCTGGGCATGGCACGGCTGGGCTTCAGCTCCTCGGGCGGAGACCGCGGCACGTGGCCCGCGCGCAACCGCGGGACCGCGGAACAACGGTAGAGCCGGAAGAGGTGGAAAGAGCGCTGCTTTGGACGCCGCCAGTCAGCGGCAGCGATCGCCCGTGTGAGACCTGGGACCGAGCCAATCCGATCCACGGAGGACGGTTTGTTGGTCGTTCACAACTCTGTCCCTATAGGGCTCCAGTCGTACCTCCTCAGAAGGTAGCTGGACCCTCTAAAGCCACCCACCCCAGTCCCACCTTCTCAGAAGGTACGACAGGAGCCCTAGGGTGTTGGGTCCCTCCTGCACCCAACTGACAGACGTAGCACGAGTATTAGGAGTGACCCTGTGACCCTGTGACAGACTTCGGGGCGACCGTGGGATCTCAAGCGAACGGCCACGGTGTCAGCCTTGGTCCTTTGGGACACGGGACACGGACGCTGTCCACGTACGGTGGCTGCAGAAGTCAGAGGCCATAACCCCAGGGTGGAGGCATCGCGTCCGGTTGGCTGAACTCCTCGGTGTCCTTGACGAACGCTGTTGAGCCACCGGCGCAACGTCGTCGCTCGGAAGACGCGTTGCCCCCGGCGCACGACCACAGTGGCTCAAACCCGATGGCTTGAACCCCCGGCTCCAACCAGCACGACCACAGTGGCTTTAGAGTAGATGGTACTGGCACCCCTACATGTCTTAGACAAATGGGGATCCATATAAACCACCGAACTTGGAGATTGTGCCATCAACTGTGAACCCACATAGATGAAGCTGGTAGTGCATAGGTGTTCCGGTCATTGGTCAATTGGATGGGTTGTGAAGTCATCCCATCGATGTCCATTTCACTAGTGGGACAACGCATCCACAAGGGATCGTATTTTCGCATCTTTTCCATCAGATCAGCAAGCTAGCAGTTCCAATGGGTGTCGTGTTTGGAGACCTATAAGCAAAGAAGGGTGTCGTTGGTCCAATGGGTGACAAGAAGCAGCTGGAACAGACCAGATATTTCACCACTGTGGTAGTGGTGACTCCTTCTGTTTCCACTTCGGTCCTTTCTCTATAGATGTCCTTTTCGCTCCGCTCCGTCATCCGTCCGCTCCTCCGCGCACCATCCGTCCGCCCAGGTTCGTTCGCGTCGGACCTCGTCCACCTGGGCTTCTCCCCCTCGGCGCGGAGCACCGTGCGGGCGGGCTCGGCGCCTTCGGCCCCTCGGCGAGTCACGCGGAGCTGGGGGAGCGAGCGAGCGCTAAGGGTGGTGGATTCTCGAAGGCTGAAGAGAGGGGTGTGAAGCAGTCTAGCTGAAGCTAAGTCCCATCTCCAGGAGCGTTCGGACGCGAACGGGGCTAGCACCGCTACGAACAGAGCAAGGACTTCAAGTAGAAACAAGAAGCTACTAGGACCTCCTCAAACCGCTCTGACCCTCCCCTCAAAACCTGTTCTGGAGAGAAACAGAACTCTCCCTCCATGGTGTCTTCTAAGCTCCACCCTCCCCCCAAAAAAACGCGGGGTCCCCCGTGTTCCCAGCCCACAAACACCGGTCCGAGCCCCGCGGTCCGGCGGAGCGTGCCGTGAGGTCTTGGATCTTTTGCACTCAGACTTCTTCTCGTTCCTCCGCCACATCGACAGGCGGGTCGCTCCGGTCGGTCGGTTCCTTCGGCCGGTTTCCGTCGGTGGGTCGATCGGTTCGATGAAGACCGAGCGACGACGGTAGGGGGGTGGTGTGGACGCGGAGGTCGGTCGATCTGGAGGAGAGTCGTGTGGTTGGGAGAGACGAGATTGGGGGAGAGACCCTCTCACTCACATGGTTACAGCACAGACGTTCATAGTGTGAGGTTGGGGTGGGGGTGGCTTGAAGTAGAGTCATTTCTTCCTGGAGAGGTGAGGGAGGCTGTTGGTGAACAGACAGGGCAACCTTTTTTCGTGGGTGAAGAACACTTCCGGTCGTTAGCACAGCCATTCGGCTGTGGGTAGAACTGACTTCAGACTGGGCTAAGCTCGGCTTCTGGGCTTCAGCGGAGTTGAATTATTTCAATATGATGTTCCATGTTCCTCCGTGGTCCCATGGTCCAGGCCATAGGCCATAGGTGTAGCCTTCCGGGTCTGTGAACCGCAAGGCCAAGTTTCACAGACCCCAATGCGTCGATATTGAAACCTTGATGCGGTCTACCGCGCTCTTTATTATCGGGTGTCCTTTTTAGAGCTCGAAAAAAAAACCACAGACGATCGCCATGGGTGTTCGACCGCGAAACGACGCGCCAGATTGGGTTCGATGCTCTTGCCCGTCGGCATGGCACGCATGGACCCGATACCGTCCCTGCCCGCCGGGGGCCCCGAGGGGCTCGGTGTTGAGCAGTGGAGCCCTTTTTGGCTGTACCTGGAACCCCAGTCCCAACTAGAAACAAGTCTGGTTGTTCCAATATGGCGCCAGCTTGAAATCCACATAGGAAATGGTAGGGACGCTTGGGAGTTCCATCCATTTCTTTCTGGTTGGGACTGGGGTTCCAGGTATGTCATATGTGGCAACATGACCCCAGGTGAGACCAGGTCGATGATGGTTGATGTTGATCTGTCGCCATGGGTTGATTCGGGGGGGGTTCCGGGGTCCTCCTTGCTGTTGGACCTGACTTGCACCTGGATTTCTGTGCACCCCCAAACCCCAGAGAAAAACTCGCTTGGAAGCCGCCGGAACCGGCGGCTCCGGTTTTCATGGGTTAGCTTCACATTTCAGGGTAGGTACATGTACAGGTTCATTCAGTTTGTCCACCTCAAATGCTCACAGTCTTCCACATGTCTTCGAAGTATCTGAACGGCCCGGCTCTGAAGAATCCGCCCATCGGCGCAAAGCTCAGGTCCCGAACAGAGAACACTTCATCCGGAACGAACAGAAACACGCGCGTCGCGTCCTTGTGACGTTCGTAGCGGCTCTCCAACCTAAGAACCATGGCTCTCCAAGCAATATAGCGATGGCTCTCCAACCTAGCGCCGTGCGTATCCGTGCGTAGCGTTGGGTGTCCCTTGTTCGATCCCAAGGACTTCGCCCACTTGGAGAGCTCCGTATCCACCCGCAGCGCAGCACAGCCTGGCTTTGTGTCCTGGTCTTCGATTCGTTGATCTCGAGCCATCGCAGACCAGAGCGGCCAGGAGGTGGTTCCGGAGACCCTAGGATTCATTCCCAACCATTGTTTTAATGGTCTGAATCCCAAAGAACCATTGTTTTACTAAGGGATTTTGCACTACACCACCCGCTCAACCGTTCTTTTAATGGTCTTTGAAGGCTAGGGGAGATGTAAGAAGGTCCAACAGAGCTGGGTCAGATACCCGAACCTTCGGCTATCCCAGTTCGGTACCCCAGGTGTTCCAGGGTCCGAACGTGACCTGGTCACTTATATAACCTCTGTTGGTTTCTCATGGTTCAACCGAAAGGTGGTCGGCTTCATTGAGCCCGGGCCATTGCTCTAGCGGCTCTAGCGTGTCCAGACGAATGACTAGAAGAGTTCTGACCCGTCGGGGTGATCAATGGGGTCGACCGGGTCATGCAACTATACCAGACTCAATTCATTCCAACCTGAAGAAACCCGGTCCCAACCAGAAACAAGTGTTCCAATATATGGGAGTTGATCGAAAACCCCGTGTAAGGAGTTTTATATAAAACAGCCTTTCAGATGTTGTTAGAACCATCCGCGAAAGATTCGCGATGAGGTTCGCGAAAGTATCTTTTTTTTCCGCGAAAGATTTATCGAAGGTCATCGCTTTCATTGTTTTCCTTTCTACCGGACTGACAAAGAATAGAAACGCAAGGCAATCCTCCGGCGAGCCAGTGGGCGGAAGTGTCCCCATATGTCACAGACTAACGAACTGAAGCCTCAACATTTCCGTGCCGAGCCCTGGCAGTGCGTAAAGGATTCTCCGATTCCTGTCCCCACTGTCACAGGCTAGCAATCTGGGTAGGCACAGCCCTGACAGTGAGGCAACGACCTGCAGCTGCTCTGACGGGCTGCGCAGATGTTTGCAAATGTTACGGCTTCCCGGGGAAAGCACCAGTGAAATTTCGCGAAAGATCCGCGAAAGTTTCGCGAATGTGCCGCTAAAGTCTAGGTTCCCAGCTTGAGGCCCCCCAACATTCCCCAAGCTGTATCACCCTGTGTTGGTAGCTGGCA